AAGTAAAGCGCTGGAGGAACCAAAAATCTCAATTAGTGACGAAGAGAATGATGATTGTTCTTGTTTAGTTTTGAACCGTTTTCTAACAATAAAGCTGACGAAAAACGGAGTCTGTGAATAGAATGTAAGAAGTGGGCTTATGAATTATGTATCCCTAAACCAAATAACTTTTATTCATATCAAAATAGTGAGTTTGCTCGAAAATAACCAGGTTCTTATCAGACATTTTCTTAAATATTCCCTTACGTGAATTCTAAATTCACATTAACTATGAATTATTGCTTTAACAATATGATAGATCGATTTGTATTTTCATACAGGTATTTTTGCTTACCAATTAACGTATATTTTTTTCATCTAACCTGTGACAACCAAACTTTTCAAAGAACTCTTAGGTCATATAACAACAAACAATTTCAGATTTTCCTCTTATCAACTATTTTCATAGAAATGATACAAGATTACATGTATAACAAAAGGTAACGAAAATTTTTCAATAAGAACTCATAGGTCAAATAAAAAACAATTAACCAAAATCTTGAAATATTAAGCTTGAATGTCCTAACGACATTAGCACAAAAACTTACCACTAAGCACTCGCACTATCGAAGGCTTTAGTACGGACGTATGCTATTTTTACTTCTAAGCACGATAGAATAATACAGAACTCAAACAGGTAATAAGAAACTCAGCTTTACGATCCAAAAGAGGATGGAAGTCTGCATTGCACTACGTATGATCTCCGCAACTGCATCGCATTCCCCATCGAAACTCAGATCTGGAAATCCCTTTTCGCGTGTATCCAACCGGTTGAACAGGTCGTAAATATTTAATCGCAGAGTACATGTACTCATCATCATGATATATCGACCCGACTTGACCATATATCGTAAGACTAAAGAAAAACCGCAGTCGATGTGCGGTTTGTTTACATGACCCTGGAGATCAATGTTAACATTTCAAAACAGATGGAAAACGTTTCGTTTACTGATGGATGCCCAATGTATCACTGTACCTGACTTTTAAATTAGATTTCCAGCATTATATTAGATTCGTTTGACCAGGTCCTTAGCCTAAGATGGCATCGCAATGATAACTGATATCACGCGAAATCCGCATTTGATACAACTCCCCTGCCTCAACAGGTTACCGAAAGCCATCGGCACCCACCCTGGGACACATTTTGGTGTCAGATTGCGCCTAAACTCGGCGCGGCTGGAGGATGGCAGCGGATTATTTCTTCCCAAATTCTTGTTACGAACCGAGGAGACGCAAAGCGGGTCGCGGGGGGCGACGTAATGGAGGGGGGGGGGGGGCAATTCGTGGGAGAGAGCGGCCGCCCGGGCAAGGCCGGCGCCAGTCCGAGACGTATTTCAGAACCCTGTTGAGCACAGCACACACAACACACAAATCGACAATATTCAATATATGTGAATTTCCAATCTTTAGGATTCAACACCAAGTTGAATTTTCGACATCTTTCCAGCTCTGCTACAATGGCAATCGCAAATTATAACATACCCATTTTCTTCACTTCGAAAACCATATTACATTTTTCAGTATGGACGTCCTAAAAGAACGTACGATTGCCATCAATTCAAAAACTACGCTCAAAATTCCCTTCACATATCTCAAACAATTATAATGTTAATTACTTAAAACTCTTGAATGACATGTTTGCAGCACCTGGAAACAAACATTATCCTAAGATTATTTTGACAGACGAAGAGCTAAAAAAGACGATTAAACAATGCTAAAAGGGATTGAAATACTGAAGAATTATTCAACTGACTTAAAATTTTTTGTCAATGGGAAAAGATGAAAGACGCGAAGAAAAAACCCGTTTCTCATCAGGAATTAGAACCAATGGTAGTATTTATATTATTTACATTTTTAGATGCCGATTTCAGACTTTTAACTGATAAATGCGATCTCTGAGGATCGATCCAATCCGAATAGCGCGGCTCTGCGCTGCATCGGGAAACCTTATACCCCATCGGGAGCGCTCGCCGCGTCGCCGGGTGGGGTGCAAGCCGCGGGTCGATGGCGCGGCGGCGGCGGCAGGGGCGGGGGGCGTAGGCCGAGAGCGGGAGTGGCAACGAGGGTGCGTGTGGGCGGGGTCGGAAGCGGCAGCCGCGCCGGTGTGGAGGTGCGGACGACTGCGCGAAAGACGGGCGAAATGACAGGCGTGACAGGAAGGGGAGGGCAGGGCCGCGAGACGAGGCAGGCGGTCGGGGGAGGAGGCCGGAACCGAGCGCCAACAAATAGGCGCACTCAAGCATTAATCTCGGGCGACAAAGTGAAAGATAACAAGCTGCAAGAACATGTTCCATCTAACGAAATGTCTGTAAATGCAAATAGCCATGACATCATTTCTTTCGACACAGAGAAGAAAGATGTTACACACTACATGCAGAAATTAGCTTCAAAACCCCAGACGTACAAATATGTACGAGTCTCCATATACATTATTTCCTCATGACTGGTTATGATATTATTTTGCAAACTCATTACTGAGTGAAAGCAAGAAAAGCATACACCTGTCTCCCAATATTGTGGGAACACGAGCACAGTAGTAGTATGCCTTCATCCCCCAGTATGTGGTTAATGTTGGGGGTGATAAATATGCGTGATCAATAGTATTAAATGATGAGGAGATGTGATGATTCAGACTTAGTCAGAAGGGCCACAACTCGACCATGTGGTAACATGCCATCCACGATGTTCGAATCCCCAACTCTAACGAGGAAGGAATTAAATCTTCATACCCTACAAATTTCCGTTACAGATGTTACAACAGCACCAACGTTCTCGCATTATTAGTAACATTTGCAATTTCCGAAAATTGAGAGCGTTTAGCCAAACTCCGACTTGCACCGTTTTTATAAGCGTATTTGGAAAAAAGTTGGAACAGTTTTTGAGAGAATATTCTCTTTAAAATTGCATTTATTTCACGCAAAAGTAAATAACATTTTGAAAACTACTAACATTTTGAAAAAACTGCATCTGACCTTAGATATTTAAGATCTGACCTTAGATCAAAGGATTAGGGGGTAGTGCTGTTTCCAAAACAGCGCCAAACAGACGTCGTAAACAAATATTTCGGTATGAAGGACCCATAAAACGTTGATTCTGACTATACAAGGTATTAGAACTAATTCATTTCATATAAGAACACGAATTATTACCTTTTTCGGCTATGAACAACCTACAATACGATTCTGAGTGCCCCAAAAAAGCCATTTTTAGAAGCAGCATATACAGCTTTCTCTATACTATGTAAGTAGTATGTGAAAAGTAAAAATCTCTATCTTTAGTATTGCAGTAACAGGAAGACATCGATTAAAACACTTTTCGAAAATTCAGAGTTGAACGGAAATCGGACCCACTCTGTTTTAGAGAGAAGTAAATGTTTTTGAGAGAAAATAAGAAAAAAGAAAAAAAAAGGAGCCATTTTGAGTTAATTTCGAAAATGTTCTTTGAGTTTCATACAAAATACATTTACATAATGAAAAATCGAAATATCCGTTTGAAGTTCAGGGGGCCGCGACGTCAGTCAAATCGATCACGCAATATTAATTTTGATGCAAAGACGGACGGACGTTTTGCCATTAACCAATTTCTC